GTACAAAATTTTAGTTCAGACATTTTTAATGAAAAAAAATCACCTTTTCTGAATTTTTTAAGACTAATCAATTTATTATTTAACAAATTAGAGAATTTGAAAAGTCAACTTTTCCAATCATTAGAATAATTCTACAAGTTTTTAGTGATAAGATCTGTAATATACATTACAATTTTTGTACAGTATCGAAAATGAAAGTAATTTGGCGTTCTTTTAAAGTTTTAATTCCCAAATTTACTAATTTCCATTTCTGTTCCACTTTCTTGAATATATTTTTAGCATTAAGGATCTAAACATTATTAATTATGAATCAAAGTTATCAAATCAAAGAAATAAATAGCAGTGTATTTATATTACCTCTTTACTTTCCTCTTCACCCTTAAAAATAGAAAATATATTATCTAAATATCTATTGACCTCTTCATCAACTTCTATATTTACAGGTGGAAACAAATTCCTCAAAAAATGAGTTTCATTTTTTTGCAATGAGTTGCTTAATCGATTAATATCCAAAATATAGTCCTTAATAAATCTTTTTTGGAAAAAATTAGAACATTGAATAATTAACAAACATTTTTATATACGTTAATAATACCTATCATTTTCTGTCTTTTTACGCAAACGGTTCCATATGTTGAAGATAGTAGTGCTTTGCTTAGAAGGAATGAAAACAATCACAGAAGAATAGTCATTTAAAATATGATTTGCTTTTTTATGGCATCTTACTGGATATTTTTTATTTTTGCTAATAGCTCTCAAGGAGCTTATCCAAATTTCTTCACTGCATTTTTCAGTTGTCAAGAATTTGAGAAATCCATCATAACTCCACTTATTTACGTCAACCTCCCTAAAATAGTCATCTACTTCTGGCATTCTAAAAATAAAGAAAATATAGTAAGAATAATGCATATAACCTATTATTTCGATTAATTTACTAATATAATTTTCTCAGAAATTGAATTAATAAACTACTGCACAACGTTCTTTGAGCTCAACTAAAACTGCTGCACAGTGTTCTTTGAATTTTAGACGAATCGAACGATAGACCACTAAACTGTTATGCAGCTGCATAACGTTCCTCAGTCTAACGGACAAAGCATCAAACATCCAGGAATTATGAAAATAGTTGTAGCGAAATAAGCTTTGCCACGATAAAAATAGAAATAAAGTTGATAAATCGCTCATTTGAAAATAAATATGTCATCTATTTCTGTCAAAATTAGATTCCTGACGTTAATTCTGAAATCCCTCATTGAATCTATTATGTCGAAATCACAAGCTTAACCGAATCGGCCGAAAAATCATTCGACTAATTTTATCAGGCGTTCAGAAATTAGAATAGAAGGTTAGCCCGCATTTTACTATGATCTTGACACATCTGGCCCGCAATTTTATTAAGTGTTTTCATAAATTCTAGTGCGCCTGGCAACAAACTGATCAAAGGATTTTTCGGCCGATTCGGTTAAGTTATCGATTTAGATATAATAGATTCAATAACGATAAATTGAAATTTAAGATCAGATATCTAATCTACATATTACGTATAAGTCTACATACGCATATCTACATTTAAGCATCTTCATTGGCAAATGAAAAAAATTTAGAAGTCGAACAATTGCTAAACACTTAAGTCTTAGCAGATCTTCTACAATTCGAGTTCTCAAGCACTTTAAAAGATACTGTATGGATATATTAAAAACTTTAATAAACCATTTTCGAAAAATATTAAAACCTTGATTTTTTGGAATCTTGAGTTATACTTGTTTATTGTAAAGTCTAATTTATATCTGGAATCCTTTTTATATTTTTGTCAAAATTTTCGTACAAACTAAACACTCCAACCTTGTTGGGCAAGTATTCAATCAAAAATTTAATAATGTTGAAATCAATAACTTAACCGTATCAGCAGAAACTCATTCATGTAGGGCATTTTATGATCAACAAAGAAAAGATAATGTTTCTTGATATCATTATCAGTCGAGAACAATATCAATTAGATACATCCCATCACACCTTCAGATTACAATGTATTTTTAATAGAAATTTACATTACTTGCGGTATATGCGGTTATCTAAATTTGTATATACTGTTTGCAAAAAGGTGTTTATACTGTAAATCTGAACACCTTTCTGTATAACTATTGACATTATAAGTTTATTAAATTAAGCCAATAGTGCTTATCACTCAAACAACTAAACAATTAGTAATTAATATACTAAGCAATAACTTCTAACTCCTTATGTAATTCTAATTCTAGCTCTAGATAGATGATAATAGCAAAAATTTCTCTAAAATACTTGTGCAAACATCACTGGTTGATTTATTATAATACATGTACATGTGATCAATTAATAGGTCAAGTTATAAAAAAGGATATTTATAATTTATTTTTTTGAAGAGAAAAAGTTTACTTTTATTTTATGGCGTTATATTTGATGATTATGATAATAAACATGGTATAAGAAATTTTTGCAATCTATAACATATCATTGAAAATACACCCTTGTTGACAATACCCCTTTGATTAATGCCGAATATTTACCAAATCTGTTACTTGTATATTTTGTTAAAGATCCGGGCATGTTAAACCGAATTTATAAACATGACATATAAAACAAATCGGTTTCATCGTATATGACTTTAGTACAAGACCCGAATAGTATATCCAGGGATATAAAACAAAAAAACCAGTGTAGATTGTAAAAGACCCTAACTACTCTCCATGACGAAATATGATATTAGTCAAAGTTTGGGCGTTCAATAGGTTTGCTTACTAAAACAAGCAAAAGAGTTAATAAGTATGAAAAAATAATGCTTTAAAACCAATATTTTGATTGAGTAATTTTCTAACCTGGTTTAGGAAGATTTTGATAATTCAAAAGCCGACTTGTATATATAGCTTGTTTATGTGTCTGATAGTTGTGTCGTATTAATGTGACTTGATTTGAATTTTTGCCCGAGTCTTTAATTTCTTTAACTTGCTTACATAATTCGGTTTCTTCATGTCGCAAATCTTTAAAAAATTGGTTTAACGCATCAACTAATTCATTAGCGGTTGGTCGGTTTTGAGGTTCAGCATCCAAGCATTTATTCATTAAATCAAAAAGTAGTTGGGGAACTTCACATTTAATTTCAGGTCTATGACCTAAGCAAATTTTTCTTACTAAATTTTCATCATGTGGAATGTCATGATATGGAGGATATCCGGTAAAAACTTCTGACATGATAATTCCAAAAGAATAAATATCTGATTCTTGTGTGTACTTTTTTCCACCTGTATATAATACTTCTGGAGCAATGTAAGGAATTACACCAAAAATCCCTTCAGTACTTGAATCTTGAGACACTGGCTTACACAGTCCAAAATCAGTAATGTAAGAAATAAACATATTTTGGTTAACTATATTTCCGGAATGAAAATCTTTATGCACTAAATTAGCTTTGTGAATTGTATTAAGCCCATCAGCTATGTAATA